ATTTTAAATTAGTTTGAATGGTACGTAATTGAATACATACATAATGATTCAGTGAAGTTATCTGGGTAAAGATCAACCGAAGCGTGAACTGGTAAGCTAAAAGACACTTCTGAACAGCTATTTAGACATGAACGGGTGTCAGTACCAGTGTAAATCCATCGATTCAACTGAGGATTACGAACACAGGACCCCATAGGCGGAGCGCAAGTGTACTACCCATCTGCAAACTAGACCGATATTCACTCTGCCTGTACACAAAATGGCAAACTCGTCTTTGCATGTGTTTTGCTTGCATTACAGCTCAGCACTAGTCGTCGATTGGAAACATTCCCAACCGGAATGGTTGTATCACGAGAATCGTGGAAGATTTGATAGTGTATACATATAATGTATATAAAATTGACGAACTCCTAATTAATTTTCAAGGGTGTTAGTTATATCTGTTATACCACCATGAATCAGTGCAGTATGGCTCGAAAGTGACATAGATTTCAAAGTGAAAATTACAAATACTTTTTAAGAGACATCCGTGAGACACATATGTAAGACGGTGATCTCACGGTGAACACCAAGAATCATATTTTTAAAACTAATTCGGAAGATATACAGAGTGAAAAAGAGCCAGACAAAGTGTTTTTAATTGGCCACAGAAAAATCTGTGAGAAGGTCATCCTTATCATCATCGTCATTGACATCATCATTTTCATCATCCGCTGCACCATCACCAACACTTCAACCACAAACAATTTCATATAAATAAAACAAACACATTCACTTGGTGGTTTGATTTAGGTCAAGCTCTCCATTGTCCAGTGGTCTTTGGACGGTAAGTAATGGCCTGTTCGCATCAACACCAAACACTTACATGGGAAGAATAGTGAATCCTTCAAATTTGTGATCTCAAATAACCGTTTGTCGAAATGAATAGTTATATACAAAGTCCCATAGGGCCCTCGACGAATGCTTTTCAAGGTTTTTAAGGCTTGCAAAACGGAGCCATTTTAGAGAATGTGTATTATTTATGCGACCTAAGCAGATACACTATACTGTGGAACTTAATTAATGTTATCATCCAAAACCTCTCACTTTTCATTTTGAGGGATTGAGATAAATATCTGTTGGTTTTTGGACCTCTTACTAGTTCTCTTTCACGTTCTGGTGTACTCATAATCCAATAAATGCGAGAACTAGACCAAATGCTATGAGTTAAAATTAGTTCACATGGAGAAATCAGTCGCTCTAGTTGCGTCACATTGTGCGCAATTGCACCGGATGAAAATAGTCGTTTTTCACCAATTAATGACAGGCTACCAAATGACATACTAAGACATGCGCGGTTCTTCTAATCAGATACTTTCTCTTATTCTTTAGTTGCCGTCACACTTTTTGCTGTACCGCTCGCGAGAAACCCATTAACTCACTTGATGTCGTAAAATGTGTTGAGCCTTGAGCAATAAAACGGATTTCCCTAACCCAGATCCGTTTTTTCAACCCATTAGAACATCTACTGAATCGATCAATCATTTGGTTAAACGGCCACTATTTGAAAATGAGGTTGTGCAATACCTCTCTGGGCGCTCCGCACAACACGCATGTGTTACACAGCTCTGAGATAGACAAGCGTGAGTCAACGATCGAAATCCCCATGGATGATGACCATGGCATCAACGTGATATACTGGTCTCACGTGGAAAGCTATTAGAGTGTGAATTAACAACAACTTAGTAACCGTTACCAACCGGGACCGACTACGTGCTTTAGTTCACCCATTTTCGGCTCAACTTCAAAAATTTCTGTGAAAAACATTGCCAGTGTTTCTGTCACATAATAGTTTCTTGTGATTTTATTGGAAAAAGAGCAGGAATCATCGGTGATTAGCTTGCATAAATTGTGAACGGATAACATGAACTTGGAGGTATTGGAAGAAATTAAATAGTATGTACAGTGAACATATAAATAAAAAAGTTTTCCCAACGCCACCGATATTAAACAAAATTGGAGAAAATGTCAGTACTGGTTCGAGAGGAATTCGACTTGCGTAACACGTAGGAAGAAAATGATTAGGGATCGATCAACAGAAAACAAACAATCAGGTCAATCGTAGCGGGGCTAACCTTCGAAAGCGGACATCAGCGATACTGCTCGCATTCGGCCTGGTCATCGCCCCGCGCTCCGGGCTGCGATTTGATTTGTTCACCTCCGCTAGGAATCCCGGACTCTGCTGTACGGAGAACATCAAACAAAATAATGTCGCACTAACTGGGGTGATCAAAATCCACCGAACCGGAAATCGCACTGACAAGTAATAAAATAATCTACTGCTACCATTATCTGTCCCCAAAAGTTTACAACAGGAACCAGGTCAGCCTACTGCGGAACACTAATCCATTCAACTGGCAACTTTTTCGCAAACATGGAGACACTATCATGAATGTATCATCAAGTGTTGTGCTTCTTTATAATTCGGGTCTAAGCGTCTGACCAAGTTTTTCGGGTATTCACTAATTGTTCTGTAGTACCTTTTTTGTAGGTGCAGAACAGCATGTCCAAGCAATCGCGCTGCCAAATACTGATAACATTTCTGAGCATTTGTGAACAAATGCTGTACATTCACCTAACACACTGCCTGTGGTTGGTGCGGTCCCAGATTGGATGTCAGAAGTCATATATAGGGTGAGGAAAGTTTATTCGCCAGATTTGTCTCAATGATAATCTTGCATAATGAGTTCCAAGGTGAACTTATAAGAGGAATTAAGTTGTAGCGGGGTACAGATAGGAGTAGACAATCACTCTTTCTAAAATGATGGTTCGCTTCAATGTTAACGGTTTCGTATGACAAGGAATTCAGCATTGTGAATATGTTTGCTCTGAACTAATGTAAGCCATTAATATTGAATACAGCACATCCATCAATATTAACATGCAATGAACTGACAGCCGTGTGGTCTAAGATAGTCAGAATCTTTGGCTCAAACAAAGAAGAATAATTGAACGACAGGCATGGTTTTTTAAAATAACTAACAGAATATATGTATTCACTGGTTTCGGTTGAGATCAGGCTCTTTAAAATCTTTAGTAAATGAGTCTTTGCTGATCGAGCTAAGAAAAAAGGAGTTAAAATACGTGGGCTTAAGAGTAACAAAGCGAAATAAGCGTTTAACGGAGCCGGATATTATTTACCGAAGTCTTGTAGGACCGGGTATGCAGCAAAATGAAGATGAACGGAAAAAGCTTGAACGGCTTCGTCATTGTACCCCTTCACTGAACGTTTACTTCGTCAGAATCGAAACAAAGCGTTATATCTGACATCAGAGTTTACACGAAGAGAGAAAAAAATATACACCGGCATTTATCGAACTCGTGTGATATCGGGGTTTTGGTGGGATCTCTTGCGCTCAAGGCCTAGCGATTTGAGGCTCATTCACGGGAAGGTATATGGTATCATAGCATAATAGAAAGACATTTGTAACGGCTTTGCATCAGCTCAGTACAGCTTCATTTCAAATTTAGCCATCGTGTTCCAAACGTTTGGATAATCCACTCGGATCTTATTCGAGATTGGTTGATTGTAGCTTTTATCAGCTGCAACCGGATGTCATTATGGCTTTGCTTTGATGCGGTCAGTTATCTGCATTGCTGGTTTCCTGGAAAAATCTCACTGATTGTGCGATATATATCGTCCTTTTCTTTACATGGGAGTGTCTGTACATATCGAAGACTGAAATGACGAATTTGTGCGTATCTTTAAAATATTGCCTCTATGTTTTACGTGTAAGCCGAAAATGTTTGAATGTTCCATCCAGTTTGGGTATGATGTCATTATACATCGGTCAGTCAAAGAGCCACACGCTTAAGGTTGATTTTTGAAGACCAACAATCACTTTTCTTGGAATATAGATTTCTACTCCCTGCATGGCGAAAACTTACGTAATTAGTTTGGTGTCACAATCTATCTAAATAGACTTAGAATAAATGGTGGTGATTTATCGTCATATTCGATGTGCATCGCGCTGAGAAAGATATTCTGTTTAGAATACTTCGACTGACCAGAATAAACGACCTCAAAGAACAATAATCATTAAGTAAACAAATGGGCGTCTATGCTGCTCTGCACCAAATATTTTCCTATTTTGAGCTGTAACTTTCTAACTACTACAACTGAAACCAGACAACTAAAACAATACAGTGGGAGATAAAGTTTGTGATACATGATTGTCACTCATGGTTATCGATATGCACTCATTGAATTGGAAACAAAATTACATTTCTTAATTGAGGGTCATATCGCATAAGTTCTATCATTACCTTCAAATGCATGCATTTATATATCTATATATTACTATGGATGTCAAAAATCTCTGACATCTTTATCTGCAACGGTCAAGTGAAATATTTCATCAATTTTTCTACCTTTTTCCTCCCTGCGTGCTTCGAATTATAAATCCAACAGGTATGAAACAATTGGAATTTTACATTTTTCAACCGATGAACTGGGAATTTCCGGAAGCATGCAAGCAAATATGATCTTGGAATGAATCGGTTTATCTTATTTCTCACCAGTGCAATTCCAGTGGTAACCCCATAAATTCAGGCAGCTGTTGAGTCACCATTGGCATGAAAATCCTTACACTGTCAAGATTTCTAACAAGTTGAACCTCTGAAAAGTGAGATCACCAAAGTTGGCCATCTCATAATATATGGTCAGTGATTTATGGGGAGATTCGTTTAATTTAGTCTAGCTCTGCATTCAAGAAAACGAACTGCTTCCAGTTTTGGTAATTACATTGCAACTGGTGGTACCTTTATCATACACGGTATGATTAACAGTCACGAACACCTACAGATCCCTCTTGGTAAGCGGCAAACTGAACTCTCCCTCTTGGAGTGACAAACAGCATAAGGTCCCCATAGGGTGAATGTGCTACTGAGTCTGGTAAGCCAAGATTCAAGTTCAAGTTTCGAAATTTCAGGACGTGAGGAGGCCTTCGCCTGTGAGGTGTCCTGGTGATGGCGTGTGCTGTCCTGTGACTGACTCGCCTGCGATTTGGTCCTTTATTACCAGTTTATCCGTTCCGGAAGTATACCCAAAAAACCATTTATCTCTGTATGTCGTGCGTACTGCGTCTTGAAATCATATTGAATGAAACACGAAGGGCGACTTGAAATTAAAACAATGTACCGAAGTGCAAAAGCATCTATAAAACCCAGTCAAATCTCCAAGATGAGCCTAAGATTTGGTTTATTAATTCTCACAACCACCAGTAATTGCATCCCACAGTTGTGCCATACAGAGCAACCTATCCTGATTTTCTCCCCCCCCCTCTATTTCTGGTCCATTGATTACTGTTATTTGATAGTGGAATAATACGCTCCCAATATAAAACTGCCTGTTTTCCATAATAAGTTTATTTCCAGGCAAAGATGACAATTAGCAAACACAACTGAATCCAGTTTAACTGGGAGGAATATTGCAACTCACTTCCCATTACTACTTCACAGAAGCACTTATTTTTCGGTTGAAGGTTAGCTTCAAAATTCTGGGATTTCATGCAACTGACGGTCCAACCAGATCAATTATTATGATGGTTCAACAACGTAAAAACTAAAATGATAATGAAATTTTTGTCCACAGATTTTCCCTCGAAATTTATATAGACATAAAATTAAATCAGATTCGGTTATTGCATTTGGGTTGCTGGACAGTTTTCGGCATAATATGTTATTAGTATTATTAGCCCTCTCTCCCCCGAGGATCAGGCAGTTCCATTTCCAGTTTTGTAAAACAATAATGGGTAAGTCAGATTGATAGTGATTGATAGTGATCTTCCCCCCTCTCCAAGATACCTGCTGACGGAAGGATTCGTGGTCCATTTCCATCATCCAAATCACAGGTTGGGCGTGCAACAGCAGCACTGTCCAGCCAATTTTGTCCAAGTCTTAGTACTTCCGGGAGAGGCATCAGTATTATTTGCTGTACAGATTTCAGAAAAGATATAACCATACCATTTTATGATTGGCATACAAGAGCTTTAGTATGCATGAATAACTTTTACAACATGGAAAAAAGCACAACAACAAAAACCAATCTATCGTCTAATGATGAGCTTTTATTCAGTGGTCAAGTGCTTAAAAAAGCCAGTTGTCGTTACGTTGCACATCCTTATTGCATAAGGGGAAAATCTACACAACAAAATTTATTCCTTACTTCGAGTTTCACAATGATGTTTGTAAGAATAAAATTTTCTAGAAGCCCATTTGACAGCTGCAATTTTATAACCGCGAATTTAACTTTAGGTGACGATCACGTAACAACCAAATGATATAAAACAAAATTATTCATCCAGTTTCATTCTATACCTACATTAACGAAAGCTATTCAGCTTTCTGTCTTTTTGTTCATATAAAGATATACCTGCGATTGGTCGCATATATTTATTGCAATTTAACGTAATTGAATTGTACGTGGAAAACACTTTACCAACAGCGATATTGTGGTAGTGATAGGCAGTGATATTCTGGAAGAGAAATTGAAGGCTGAAATGAAGCACTCCTGCAGGAAAAATATTCACCCATAATATCCATTTTGAGTAACTAACATTTCGTGGATACAATACAGTATGCTCGCAAAGCATAAAGTGTGCACAGCAGATGTCTGTGAGCATGAATTGCATTTAGTCATCCCTACCATTAAAATCAAGCTAAAATAAAACCTAACAAGATGATTCTGATAAAAAATTCAAATAATATGTGCCAGATCGCTAGAAATGTTTCAGTTTTTTTAGAATATTGTAGAAATTTAACTGAGTGACCAATATTGTCACACGCCGGGTCATCTGTTGCATATTGCCAACACTCAGTCGCTTCACTAGAGTTTAGCCTCACGGCCTCGCAATGCACTACAGGATGGTGCTCCGTCGGTTTGTACTCCAGGCTTTATGGTTTGTGGTATCTATCACATTCGATGTACTGTCCTACCGAACGTGCTTACTGGTTCATTGAATCCAAGCAAACTGAGTTCAACAAAGAAAATAACCAATTGTTGACCAACCCTACTTCTCCCGTGAATCGAAAATGTTTGGTTCAATGAAAATGACTGATCAAAAAAACATACACAACATTTTAATACTCACTTGAATAGATGCACTTAGTCCATCAGGAGGTTTTGTCATGACAGTAGATTGTGCATGTACGGGAGACGGTTTTAACTCTGTTCTTGGAGGTGAAGTACTAGGACCAATTATGGGTGAAACTGTACGATAAGGTCGAGCAGTTGCACCGGCAGCCAGTTGAGCGGCTGAGCTACTTGCTTTGGCCAGTTCTAAACCGTCCTGTTGCGATTTATCCAACCCGATTGAATAACTACCAGTTCTGGGACTGTGTGCGTTTTGAGGTGTGTAACCATGGTTCAGGAGTAAATCATTTGAGGTCCTGGAAATCGGGTTCTCTGTTTCTTGTGTGTATACTTCTCTTTGTCTCAAAGCCCAGGGGGGCAAAGTGGAATCCAGAACACCGCATGGATGCACAGTCGAATGAGTACAAACCTCTTCACAGACTGTTTGATTAATCGGCTGGGAGCTTGACATGGAAGAATGGTCTTTGTAGTTTGCCGTGGATGTATTTCTGGAACTCCGCGGGGAAATAATTAACTCACTTATCCCAGTACCTTGTGGAGATGAGCCGCTTGGGCTCACAAGACCGTTTCGAAGGTACTTTTGTTGTTGCTGTTGTTCCTGGTTCTGCCGATTGGGATCATAGGTCCAGTCTCGCGGCTGTGGTGATAAATCATGGGATCTTCGCGATGATTCGGACGATGCAGGCAGTCGATCTTCCTGACGAGCGCGAGCGATTAGTTCAGCTCGGGCAGAACTGCGAGGCTCAGTGGAAACCAGAAGAGGCTGCTCTGGTTCTGCTCGAGTGAAATTTGCGGCTGATAGACTGATTTCTTGTGGCTCATTCGACTTGTGCATGACACCCCCTTGTGGTAACCGTGCAAATCGAATGTCTCGGCGTGTTGGTGAACGTCGAGAAGGTATTGCTGCAAGCGTTTTGTAATCCTGAGAGCGACTTCGAGTAGGGCCGCCAGGGCGAACAGTTCTTGCGTATGGGAAATATATATTTTGATTTGTCGCATATGTTTGCTCCATTGTATACATCGTTGATGGTGTTGGCTTCCTTGACACGTTTGTTATCGAACTAGTCCGTCCCGCTGGAGGCGAAGGTTCTCCAGAATCAATATACTCCTCCACATCAGCTGCGTCTGCGAAGTCTGGTGGAGGAGATGAGTTTTCTCGTGTCTGAAATGAACCACGCAAAGTGTCCACCTTTCGAGCAGGATTGGCAAATTCAGCCGAACGGGATGTAGGCATTGCGGTCTTGGTGTCCACACGACTTTGCATTTGACGCATATTCGGAGCAATGGAAATAGTGACGGTACCAGAGGGATACGCTCCCTGCGCCGGTGATGTTTCATCTACGAAAGGAGGAGGAGAATTAGGTATTGGAGGGGCAGCGTCCGGGCCATTTTTTAACCAGAGCCCTGTTCCTTTGTTCAAAGTCGAGCGAGTAATCATTTCGTCTTTCTGAGTGAGATCTGTTTGTTTAGCATTCGACTCACTCGGTTCTACGTAGGGCTTTATTCCACCAGCACCGAGCCAGTTGCCAGCGGGACGTGTACTGCGTTTCGAAGCAATTGGGCGAGAGTCTGGAGTGATGATTGGTTCATCTACTGCTTCATTTACTGCTGTTTCGTTGTTTTGACTTGAGTTGAAGTCCTGGTAAGCAGGTGGTTTGGGTTCCGACTCTTTATTATCTCTCTCTGCTTCTTCGGCGTCTTCTTCGGTATCTTGGTCTTCGTCTTCGTCAGCAGACCGTAAAGGTGAAGAAGACAAGGTGTTCACTGATCCAGTATTCAATAACACCTCTCCAGTTTCCGCCGGTTGATCAGTTGCTTCAGCATTCTGTTCTACATCGGAGAGCTCTGTTTCTTCATTTGTCACCGGTGTCAATTTATCACCTGTCTCTAAAACACCAGAGCTTTTGCTGATGTTTGATTCGCCATATTGCTTTCCAACTGACTTTTTCTCCCCATTACGTTCAGTACCACTTTGTGAGTTATCAACCAATCGTGTACGCGCCTGACTACGCTTCAGTATCGGATGTCTCTCATTGGACGAAATATTTTGAGCAGAGTTATTCTGTTGCTCTGCTTTTTCTGTGTTTGGTTCAGGTACGTTAGAGAGTAGTTGGTCCTCGGGGGTTTTTGGTGCTGACGGTTGAACCAGGCTTGGTGTTGATTGGCTGTTATTTATACCCGCGGTCAACCTAGCACCTAGCTGATTTCCAAGTTGATTGGTTCCAGTAAGAGCAGCATCATCTTTCCCAGCATGTCTGGTATCAGCTATGAGGTCAATCAAGCATGTGTAACCGCGGGGAGGGGGGATGAAAAGAAGAGAATGTTGGAACAAAATTAGTTTTGAATATATTGGACTGTTCACATTTTATAAGACAGATCTGAAACGGCCCAATTGGGAATGACTAGTTAATGCAGTACGCATAAATTATTCACGACCAAAATTTGCCTAAAGTCCCTGGTAACTGACTGTACAAAGCAGATAGATAACTATCAATTCAAGGATAAGTTCATTTGATCGCGTATTTTCCAAGCACCACACTGAATGCACACTTGTCAGAGCACCAGGAGACATGTCAAAGTGTGACGTGCTAAATTATAGAAATTGTCTCATTAGATGTCTCTAGGGTACCAAAAAGGTTGTCAATTTGATTCTGTTGCAACAAATTTACCGTTCCCGTGCAAGGAGCATGTCACATTTTATATAAATGGGTTAGCGACCAAAAGGATTACGGGTTACAAATGCACAAAGGAAAACTTACAGACACTTTGATGACGCTGCAGACCATTGATAGCGCTCAAACGCCCATCTGGCAAACTGTCCGTACTGGCTCCAAGTTGTCGGTCTAAATCGTTTTGACTTTTGGATTGTCGGCTTTGTCGCACACCTCTGCAGGAGTTGAATGTTGAGCAACGGGGTAGAAAACACATTGCGTAGAGAGGTGAAGTGGAATTATAAAAAATCAGAGTTAGTATACCTAAGACCTAATGCATGTGATGCATTTGATCAAACGAGGACATAGCTGGCCAAGCATGGACGCTTAGATCTCAAAGCATTGTAATGTGCAAAACAAACTAATTCATCACTGATAATGACTTATAAATTACTGAACAAGGCAAATTATTGGAAAGCGCGATCTTTATTTGTAACCAGTATGTTTATTTGTCGTTAACTATTGAGATCAACGCAAAATGAGTTCACAAAGTCGGTCTGACATAAGGCACTTGGAAAATCGTTTAGACTCTGGGATCAAGAACGTCTACTTTCCAGTTCATTCCGAATCGCTCAGTGACCATTAGTATTTATCGTGCATTATCAGATTGATTACTGTGTGCTGGCTGCATATTTTGCCCGTGTTTCATTCAAAGGGATGCTGGTCAAACTATAGGCTTGGTTAATGGTTACTAACGAACAAAGTTTGAAGCGTATTTTAGTGTCGTGCTTGGATTAATCCAGTCGACACAGGCACCAGCCACTATTGATAGTCTTGGGTGTGGGTTTCCCTCTTTGGGAGATCGTGAATCTCCCCCCCCCTCTCCCGGGGAAACGGACTTATATGCTACGGAGGTATAAAAACTCATTATGTAAAATTGCTGTTTATCCTAATGCAAAATAATTATCAGTTAACGAGTTTTCAACTCAATATCCTTGTTTTCCTGATGAATTCTTACAATTCTTACAACGTGTAATGATGAATTATTCGGACAAATCCTCAGGAATTGTTCGATCCAGATATTTTTATGAACAAAGTACTTTATTTGATGGAAGTTAGCGTCGGAACATTTAGTTTGCTCGAAAGATGACTTATTTTGTAATTAAGAATCAACAGACTGGTTGTCCATGTTTTGGGTTTCAATTTCTTTTAAGTCCGGTGGATTCCTGAGGATGTTCAACGTGGTGGAAAACCCCTGGGAAGTGATCCTGAAGGTGTTCTTCGGTAACTGACAAGTGGAATTTGCAATCTTGGCACTGGTTCACAACGAAACCAAATTTATCAAACCCTTTCATCTAATTTCAATGGGGACTATATCTAATAGTTATCTGGCCAATTCACAGAGAGTATTTTCATCGCAATGGTTGTTTTTAAACCCTCTCATTTGTGGCAAGCAGCACTGCTACTTGCAGATTACCCTTTATTGAATTGTTTATTTAGCCGTTGCCTCGCTAAGCAACGAAAAACGAACGGACTGATTGGAATTATGGAAGCCAATGTCCATTAAATTCTGCCCTGGGGAAATAATCTAGGCTTTTGGTAAGCATTGTCTGAGTTTCTCATGGACTACAGAGTGTGAGATGCATAATTAATTATTTAATGCTAAACAGAATGTAAGGATATTTGAAATTTTTAATTTTCATTGCATTATTTCTTTAGATGATCACCTCTTACTTTCGCCCGAGCTTCAATTTATTATATCCTGAAGCGTTTACGCAGTGCATCAACTTTAATTGATTTTCGCCTGTTTAGCGAGCTTACGATTTGGTTGCAAACGTTTCATTGCCAATCGAGATAGTATCTCCATTAGTTGTGTGAAAATGTCACCACTTTTGGTGATGAAACGTTTACAAACAAATTGCCAAACTCGGCGAACGAGAGAAACTGACATCGCCCCCCCGCCCGGGGATAGGAGAAACGATTTTCAATAGTTTGTCAGATCAAAGTTAAATCAAACTCACTTTGCCAAATTAAGCAGACTTCGACTTCTGAAATGAACAAGATGGAAAGAGGGAAGCTTTCCAGTCTGAGTGGCTTTGATAAACACCAATGCTCGGTGTATTGTTTAGAATTAGACAGATAGAAAATTCAAAGGAATCAAATTGACAAACCGCATTTCCTTTTTAAAGAGCACTCGCCATCCCAGTTATGTTTCTTTAGCAGGAATCAAGCATCTATTCACAAAACTGACAACTTTACTTCCGATCAAAGCCAGATGGCACCTTCAACTTTTGGGCTATCAGTATTTAAGGTTTCCTGTGTCGACCCATCCAAATGAACCTAATGGAATAAGTTTTCTATAACACCACATGTTTTGAGAGGCTTTCGATCGGAGTTAATGAGTTATATGTTATGTCCTCCATTGTAGCTGTGGGACAAACGATAGAATGAACACCTTTTTAGCCCACACTTGAATAAACCGAAGTGGGTAATTCTGTTTAGCCCCGACATAAGCAGGTTTGCAAAATGATGACACTCACACGTTCGTCGTTCAAATCCAGGACAGACGGATGATGGACGTACAAATGAATGTTTGGCAGATTTGAGGTTTCTATGGCGATTGTGAAAAGTTCAGTAGCCTCGGTGGGATTCGAATCCACGCACGGACGCCCCCTACTCTTTGTACGCGAATGCTCTACCAGATGAGTTACGAGGCCACATCGATATCACTGATCTTTTAGCACTCGAATTACTCATCCAACCAAAAGATACATATGGCCCATGGCATTTGGTGGAAGCCAAATGCCTCAAATAGCCATACAATACTGATGTGTTGGTAGTGGAATTTGAATGTGGCGCTACTCGAGTGCCTGATGAACATGGAGTTTAATGAATTAGCCGTCGAAAGCAATACATTAAAATCTGTCATATCACGCCCACTAGTGGCTTATGCAGGGGCCAATGACATTGTTCGACTACCTACTCAAACTGGCAACACAGTACTTAGAATGATTGAACTAAGATTTCCGATAATGATACATCACAATAGATCAGTTCAACCGTCGATCCCCAGTAGGGTTGATGCATTCACACTGCTGATGAAACCCAACCAGGTCGAAACAGGTATCCAGTACTTCCTAGCTTTTCAATTCACGCTTCACGTAATCTACTCACGACGAATTTCTCTTTGAGAATTATAGTCTTTTATTCCCGTGATCGGATAGATATTTTATTGCTGTTCTGCGGACGAGCAAATACGTTGGTCATCCTTCGTCACTTGCCTAACATACATGTATCACTAGCTGTGGTATGCAAATTCTGAAATATTCTGAACTGACAGTATGATCAGACAGATCCCACATTTAAAGTGGAAATCACTTCGGTAATTTTACGCTGCCAAAAACAACCCTTAACTAATTTTTGGGTGCATTTATGTTTTACAATCAACACGTAAAGTGCAACTTGTNGACGCCGTGTTTAACCGTGTCCATAAATGTGTGCGTGTGTGTGTGTAAATGACCATGACCGTTAGTTGTCCAAATCGGAGTCATGGAAAACAGCATTGCTCTTAGAGGGAGAACAAATATTCATTTTGTGCTTTCCTCTCAGTCGTCAGTCACGGATGAGCCCGGTCTAGGAAACAAACCATCAAATAAAAAATAGCTTGGAAACGATGCTGCATGAGACAGTAAATTTACAAAATGTTTAATAGACGAAATTGTATTTGAGAATTTTCTTGGAGAATGGGAAATGTTTACCGGTTAACGGAAGTCAGAACTACTATATATGCAGTTCAGAATTGGGGGAAGCCCAAGTTCAAAGTAACGAGATTTTAGGAATTGTTCATCCAATAGTTACTTTCATATAATTTCTGTTACAGCGAATTGTACAATTTGATTCCGTTTACTTATTCAGTTCGAAGAAAAGCAAATTTTACTTAACTTCTAGAATACAGTTGAAATGTTTATCATTTTAAGATAAAAACTAACATTCCTGAAAACTATTCGCATTACTTTGAAGCAATAAAGGGAGCGCAGCACCAAATTGTGTATTCCGTCTGACCGAATGAAAACGTTTTATAATCAACCACCATCAGTGACCGCATAGTGTACAATGCGCGATAAACGTATAAATCTTCTTTTATTTTTTCCGTATTTCGGCTGCTTTATTCATGAATAAAATCAATCTTGGTAGAACCAAACAAATCTAACGTAGAATAAATTATACTACATCATAATTGATTAATTATACGTGCTCTGTCTGAATTATAACATTCGATATATAGGGAGCGATAAGAGCATAAGTTACCCTTTTCTCGATGCGTTCTGCCTGATAGGTTTGCTAAACCGGATGCACTTCTCGGTCTGAAATCAAACTGATTGGTTTGACACGTGACTGATAAATTGATTAAAATAGGAATCACTTAGCTTATTTGCAATCGAGGATCCGATGCACCTAACAAGTCGAGCTTTTTACGATAACCTTCCTATTTTTGGTTCCATGAGCCTTAAAGGATACACCCCACATGTTTTCTTCACAACGCCAAGCGGATAGAAGCGAACAGATTTCGCGAGCAGCATCGGCATTCCATTAAACGGGACTCAGTTTGCGTGAGGTAACCAGCCATTGAAAGGGATCGAGGAAATTTGTAAAATGATTTTTTAAACGTTGAGGAGCAATATGCCCTGAAAAATAATCTGATAAAAAGGAAAACAATTCGGCTGACTCCAAAAATCATAGATTACACGTCAACATTGGGAATTCTCATTGAAGTAGCAGAGAACAATAAAAAATGTGATGTGGAAGAAATGCTGGAAACATGTACTGCACTCACACTGTTACACCAGAAGCCATGGTTATTATGAGTTGAAATATGGACAATGAAGTGTTGGAGAACTCAAGCAGACGTGAACAAAACTCCATTTATTAGAGACTAGATTTCTGGAATTTTGCCTTGGTTTAATGGTATAACGGAGAAAAATAAAGAATATTTGGCTAAGGAAACTCGTCGCGTATAGAAAAATTCCACGATTTGCAAATTAGAGTGAAATCATAACGTCCTTTATGCGAAAATGAGTGATTATCGAACAGATGGCAGTCACAGGTCTTGTACGCAGAGATGATGTATCGTGATCCTCAAGTAGAACGACCGTAGCAAAAAACTTTAAGTAGTATTCATTGGAAATGATCTGGATGTTCCAATAATTTGTCACTCCTTTGTTGTATTTTGCGGTCTATAGTCAGCACATAAATGATTGTTGTGTTGTGAAACTTAGTGTAGCATATGTTTGTTTCCACCAGATATGGTTGCATTCAAGAATATAATGGCTAAATTTTCGGAGGTCTTAAGAGTTTTATAATTTATTTGTGCACTGTTAGTTACTGAGAAAAAATAACATGCTATCCGAGCGAATGACGAGCTATTTTAAGCTTCGTGACATAACAGGTAGAGTTATGCTTGAGACATGCACTGAGCACTATAGATGAATTGACTGTAACCCTCACTGGCCTAGGGATAACTGACAGTTTCACTCGGTAGTCAGACACCGGTTTAAAGTTTCAAAGGTCAATTTTCAAGAATTACCACTGAATATTTTACATTTTTATGGTATTAAAACCACACTACGGTACCTTCTGAAGACCTCCAAAACTTCCGGGGAAAGTTCAGACATTTTTATCCCACAACAAACAAAACCATCTAAGACAAGTAGGATAATTTCAATTAGAAGAAAATCAACCTCTGGATCCACAGCTAGAGAAAACTCCAGGGAATTCAAAAGCTTTCCGTACACAGGATGTACCAAGAGGATTCCACAGACAGGTGGAGACAATTATTGAACGGAGGGTGGAGGGGTGACCATATTTAAACCTCTCCAACTAGTTCAATTACCATCAACTTGTTCACCTCCGGCATCAAACGTATATCCCCATTACAATTGTAATTTCACTCACCGTGTAACACTAGGTTGGGGAATTGAAGGCAGGCTGGAATTGAGCAGCATTAGCTCCTTTTGGCATCGACCGCTGGAAGAGAGAGAGGATGCAAAACAGGAACTGTGCGTGAACGCTAGTCTGTTTACGATTTTGAGAGCCCAGTTTGTGACCATGGTAACGTGGACCAGCATTTTGATATAAAAAATAGTTTTGTACTGGAGACAAAATGGTGTTACGTCAACACATCCACTCTAGGATCAGCTGCACAAATTAGAACACTGGAACTCAGATTGAACTGTGAGCAGCTGTCTATCGGTATTGGCCTACAATTAATCTTATCATAAAGTTTACAAAACCAGTCTTCAAAACTGGACATCAAGCAGGTTGTTTTCAATCCGATTGGTGATGATCGTTCCTGAATGGGGTCTTTCTACTCATTATACTGATCAACCCGGGTCGCATGGAGTGAGAAATGAAAGATATTTTTAAATATTATAATAGCATTATAGCTCTCAACGATTGCCATTAATTATCGCATACTGTATTTAACTAGAGTCTTGCCCTTCACTAAAAATACCCATGCAGAATGGACATTTATTCCATAAAGCTGTTTTAATGTACCAAATATAAACGTAACAACGGTACTTAATAAATATTTTGATATGATTCTAAAACCGACATAGATTCAAAAATTGACAATGCTGTATTCAGTAGATTGTTCAATTCGTCCACAAAATGAGGACAACTTACGTGAATGTGTAGAACTGACGTCTCTTGAAAATGCCCCCGTTTGCTTTTGATTCTTTGGCATCCACGGAGCGATTTAGACTGTCAATTAAACAGAAGTACATGCAAGAAGACTTGTATTTTTAAATTGGTTTCAATGGTAAGCAATCGATTGTCTATCAGGCATAGTAAAAGCGTGCCGGAAATTATTCAAAAATGTAACAACCCCCAAAACTAAAGTTTTTAAGATAAATGTGTACACAGAAGGAGAAACAGAAGAACTAAATCGATTTTTTCTCCACAAAAATAGATTGGTTAGGCATTGGATTACAATCACTCAATACGGATTGTTTTCAATATTCCTCTGTTGTAACGATAGGCGTGTAAATACATGTGGTATTTAATACAATGATGACAATGATGGGATGAAATCAGCTCGTGTGTATCAACTTGCAAAATGATGATTTCATCAAACAAAGACCATAATTGGAACGATCAGAATCAATATCAATGTCTTGTATTTTTTGTTCATTGAAATTTCAATAAATTATTTTATTTTTCTTCCTACACCGGGCCATTGCCTAACCATAAGCAAAATCTTACAGCCGAATAACACGATCGAGTATTGATAACTGAACAGACCGTGATTCTTGTAAATGCAGTGAACACTGAGATTTGGAAATTACCATTCTTTACCCTGGATATTGTAAGTTAAGCGACGACTGAGCTGTATGGATAATAATTCCAACAATTGTGTCGGTGTGTTTGAACAAAACGCTTACTGTTAGTCCAGAGGGATGAAGTGCTGTGATGAAATATTTATCCATGAAGGTTTAGCCTGAAGGTTTCGTCTGTACGTGCCATATTATGCTGGCCATAAATATCGGTAACACTTTTCATACTCCCAGGTTATTTAGCCATTGAACTTCCTTCCATCTCACGTTTTTAAAGATTATTTTATTTCGGTTTATATAAAACAGAGCCGATCACTGACAACTGAAGAGCTTACGTGAAAAAGCATTGACGATCTACGGCCCATTTCCAAAGGGCCTCAGCCGACTCCGCTGTCGGACACTTGAAACCGAGTGTATGGCGGCGCTATAATAAAGGAAGAACAATAATTTTTTGTCACCCAGCATATGAAAGCCATGGTAGATCATGAACATTGTCAGAAAGTATTGATGAACTAAGTTTTCTGTTACAAAATCAAAAGAATACTACTCTGGTTGTCATTTTGAAAATACTCAGAGTGACCGCGATCATAAACTCAAAACGAGATATTATATTTTTCTGAGAAATAAATACAACAGGGAGAGAAAATGAAAGGAATAACGAACTTGTGGGTAAAGAACTTCAGATTTATAAATTTACACGTGTGTGCTATTGTCAGTGTCCGGTCAGAAGAGCGATAAACCAATGCAGATTTTTGGAAATGCAATGACAATCGTTGTGGCACATGTGCATGTTGGCAAGTGTACGTCGACACATTCATTTTACGATCAACTTTCAACTTTCCTGGAATTGCTTTTTTTGATCAACCACTGTTATTTAGTGCGATCTGTTTTCATCATTTTGAGCTACCGCGATATACTTTATTCAGCGTTGCTTATTTCAATGAGCTAATTTGGCTACTGACTAGTAGTAATAGAATACACGTGGAAACACGTGCAGGTTGCTATGCAAATCGAGGAAAGAACAACGATTTTGAAATTGAAAAACTTCTGTTCATTAATAGATGTAAGTGATCCTCCAACCGGCGACTTCGACGTGTCCAGCAGTTTTAGCTTTTTTATTCGGTTAATGCATAGAGACACTGAGTGATATGGCTGGTTGTCGCAAACAGTGGCGCTCGTGCATCCACTTATTATTCCCCAAACATCATTCTAAATGAATCCCCCATCTTCCAATCTTATTGGCTTTCAACATTTATATTTTCATCTCGCTCTTTTATCCAAATGGGTAACCAAAAGACAGCAACCAAAACCGGCGCACGAAAGTGCATGATTAATGGTTGTAAAAACTGAACTGAACTGATAGTCGAATTTACTCGGTTAACTACCAGTCACCATTTTATCGTAGTGGGAGCAGACAATGGTGTAACTTCCCTAGATGATAGCACACGCAACATGCATCGAATCTGTGCTAAAAGCTGTTCATATTCAGACCCATTGTATGTTTGTACTGCATTGAGGTCGTCTGCACAGAGATATCTGGGTATTCTCAAACAATATCCAAGGTTTTTTCTGGAGCTGAACATATTTATGAGAATACAGATTTTAGATATTATTTGAGGTCACACTTTCATTCCTTTTCATTTCAAACTTATCTTTCCATATATATTGTTTTCTTACATATTGTTCTAAGGCATTTTACTGAGACAATTTAAACAAACCTTTCCCGAGATTAATTTGAAAAGAAAAGACCATATTGCAATACTGTAAGATTTATGTCCAGGACGATTTCGCTGCATCTCAACATGGTGCATACTGCAGAAAATACAATGTTTATATAGGGTTTTAGCATAGCAACAAAGTAAAGCAAAATACATTAAAAACAGACAAAACATAACAGAGGGAGGGGTAAACGGAGCCATATCACCAGGGTAGGGAGAGACTAACATACAGTTCTTTTTGCTGGCACAGGGGGGGGGGCTTCCATCGATTAATCGCAATTGCTTCAGCAAACCTTAGCAATCTTGCGACTTGTGACTTGTAGACAATTGTCTAAGTTAATCGCGTTTGTTAGCAAACGAATGCCGGACAGGAATATCTCACCAGGTACGTATATCCAGGTGTGCATATTTATATTTCTGACTTGTAAAATTATTGGGAAATAACTTATGAGTCCTTCTTGTTGAAACTAAGGGCCCTTATTTTCTTTGGCATAAAATAACCACACCGATTCATCAAGTCTTCCCTGTCTAAAATATCATGAGTATATTTCATTGGGTTGTTTTTGGTAGCATTTATTGGTATCTTACTAGTCAGCTGTAACGTGTAGATATGGCGTAATTAGAAAATGATTTGGGAAACAGACTGCGTCGTGCCCGAAGCCACCAACAAAGCGTCATACAGGGTGCTCGTAAACAAACGGTCTCAAATTATGTTCTTTTTCATGAATTCGAGGCGAACCCAATGTAATACAGCTCAATATTCGTCCAGCATCTTGAGTGAAACAGACTATAACAGTTATGAAGCCTGATACCTCATCCGTTAATAGGCAATATTTGCATCTCAAACAAACCTATTCCTCGGACAACACGACACATTTCAGTTTTGAGCTACTAGCGATGCAAGAAATATCGTTCAAATGTCTCACTCAACGATTGCTATAGACCGGATGATTATCGGAGGAACCGGCATTTCATACAGCAATCTGTTTTTGTTCGATGAGGTGATATTGTTTATAAAATGAAAGATTTTTACTGGGCAGCCTAGATTATCATATAATAATAAAACTAATCTCACAGGTAACTGGGAAACCCACTGAATAGTTCATGCACACGGAAAATGTATTTATCAATTGGTTATTTCGTCTCATTGGTATGAACCATCGTCCCCCGCTTCCCTTTATCTACGTGACCATTAGGTCAACTAGGATATTGTGTACCGATTGAGTTTGTAAGCAATACACTGTAAACAGTTGCAATCACTTACCACTCATAAAAGGGAACCGCCTACTCGAATCCACAGATGTACCGCTGCTTGTGGTAAAAACCAGAAGGGATATTCTGTTGAAGCGGTTTTCACGAGGAATGATTAGAACCATAAATGGTTGCGTGGATAAGCACCTTTGTACAACTCCGTGGACATACAAATTCTCTTGTTCGCTTGGATAGCCCTCCGGATACACTTATGGTTTGCTGTCGATCGTGTAGTCACATTATCCGCACATGAACGACCTTTTAAGAAGTCAGTCGCTCAATACTGCACCAGCCTGATAAATTATTTATCTTGATATAACATAAGAGCTAATTGACTATGAGTCCGAAAATGCCGATCCAAATTGTCATCGATACTTTGAAAGAGAAATGGTACAAATTACCAAGAACTGGGTCCATTGAAAACCGTTATATGCATCTATGTTCGTTTTTGGAAATAATTGCAAGTGTGAGCCTTTGTGAAATCTCACAATGCGAGGGGATGAAAACCGTGAAAAGCGAACAGACTCAGAAATGTTTGTTGGTAATTGCTAGCTCGCCGGTCACACGACAAGATGATACGGATAATAAACGTGTAAAGGTGTATGCATGATTGGAAGTAGAGATTATTGGAGAGAAAAAGGATCCCCAGGATCTTTCTTTCTTTAAATTGGACAATTGAATATTAAGTACTGTATTAAGATGGACGGAATTATGCAAACCGAAATCAAAGGCATGTTTCGAACTATCAAAGTATTCAGTCCAACGGAGAAGATTGATACAACACCTTCCTAAGGCGTCGTGCTCAGATGGATGCATCACTGGAAAGAGCTCAAAGTGGCATGGATGAATCCAGTACGACGCGAAGCTAATCAGGGACCAGAAAGGTGAATAGTTTGTCGGACATTTTATCCATCCACCGCCTTAAACAAATCAGATACACGTCCTCACGAACAATTCATTGGGCCTGTAAACGCTGATGTTGACCGAAAGTTGGATCGGGGACAAAAGTGAAACTAACACTAATGATCGAAAATCGGTGATTAGAATCCTGCGGTGTGCAGAGATTTGGATGAATGCTTTGAAGACCATGCTAAACGTTACACTGAAGTAACTCAGATGTTATGAGCAAACTTTGAAATTTATTTTTCTTTCTGATACATTATTATGGAGTTTCATTTTATTAAATAGATGAAATCGTTTGTAGATTTTCAGGAAGCTTAGATGGCCAGTTGAAGGTGAACGTCAAACAGTTTGAACTGGACAGCAATCGATATCTAGCGTACTGTTTGCAAATGTGATCCACTCAATCCACTCGTGACTAAATCTATTTGGAAGGAAACAAAACTTAGTAAACTTATGTTTGCGGTATTTTCCAGTACAAAGCAAAAAATATCGCAATAATGTATTTGTGCATCCAACTTTTTCTGATTTTCACATCTAGCTACTAATAAATGTTATAGTAAGCAGTGTAGATTAATAATGTTCTCTAATTGTTCGTATATTTTGCGGGGTTGAGACAAAACAGGTGTCCGACTAGAGTTAAGTTATATATCCCAATTTGATTGCTTTGAGTCATAGTTTTATAATTTTTTGTAAGTAGCTGCGAAAGCTGTTTAAATTAAAAGTATGAGTGAATGATATAAGTCGTGATCAACTCAATCGGAAGAGGAAAAACTCACTTGTTCCCATTCAACTTGTATGATAAACAATTTGCCCTCGTAGCTGATTTTGTTGATCTTCTGCCTAGAGCGGGGAAACAAAAAAAAGATGAGAATAAGGATGTAAAGGAGGGTAAAAGTTCTTCTACCGGCAGACTAAGGGAAACATTGCTTTGGGCGGAGGCGAGGTCATGAACTTCGAGAAGAGGCAAAGTAAAATATACACTCATACATGCACAGACCTCATTCTTCACTCAACCACAGCCGTAACCCGGTTCACGGAAACATGCACATTTGGGAACATGGCGCAAAACGTTTGAATAGCGGAGGTTTAATTTACATGCACAATAACGGGCGCGGTTGTTCTGAACATTGATTATTCTTGAAACGACAAACAAAAAGCAGTGTGTGCACTGTTTGTGAAAATTTATTTGACTGTTTTATATAACGGAGTGAGACATCAATTATGTTGACTACGTTTGCCGATGCTGAGACTGTAACATACGAACATAATAGATTGGTAGTCATGATTTGTCACTTTGTACCCGAAACCGTTTTGCTCTAGTTTGCACACAAATACCGTTTCCATATGTAGTACAAACTGTACTGTGGTTTATATTTCATAGTTCCGAAAATGTGTGCCTCAAATTGGATAGCATACAAACCAGAAATACAATAGTGGCAGTTTGAGGTTTTTTCAGTTTATTGCTGCGCTGACTTTTGCGTCGTGTCCCCGAAATTGCAGAACACTGATTCACAATAAACCCTCGTTAGAAACAATGTAATATGGAAACCCAAAGTGCAAAATCCTTCAAACTTTCCATTCGCTTAGTAAGTCCTACTCAACGAGAATAGATTGAAATTATCTCAGTAGCAAAATAAATCTCTTGTCGCAGTTGATCGAAACCTGGTGCCTATGTTTCATTTGTTTACAATTCACGAGATTTGATACGCTTGGTTTGCGACAGTTACGGAGAAATGTCACATTTCTGGCTACTAAACCAACAGTGATGACAACTGCAATTGCCATTAGCCGTTTGTGCTTATAAACAGTCAGTTAGGAGGATTAACGATTTTTATCTCAAGCTCGTCTGTTGCATAAAATATTTCCCTAATCTGATATTGATTTCGCAAAAATGGGTGAGAAAAATTCCATAGTTATGATAAAATTACCTGACAGCAACCATAAACTTCCAATGTACTTCTCTTTAGATTTGATTTTTCTTTAGCACCATTATTATCATTTTCGTTTTAGCCGGATTTGGGGACTGTCATTCATGCACAATTTATTTCATGTATTTAAGAATTTCCTAAATACTAGCATCATCACAAGACAGGTTGATTGCACCTGTTCCTCGTTATTTCCCGTTGTGTTCAAACATTCGTTCGATCAGAATGATTACAAGTTTTTGACGCCAAAAACTTTCGACTAGCTAAAATCAGCGCGTAGGTTATAGGTCATCAGTCACGCTTGTAGTAAACAGAAGGGAACGGTAGATGACCATGCTTATCGATCGGAACCATAGGGACAGCTTTAACATGACTGGGGTCAGGCTAACTACCAAGTCCAGTTTTTTAAAGAGGCTCTGTTTGCGACGCCGAATCGCTCAGGTCTCAACAAACCACCACAATCGTTTCAATAACACGAAAGTTTTGCCTCAAATTGATGCGAATTTGACAGTCTATTGGATGAAGGAAAATAGAGCTGGAGGAATCTCTTCATTTTCATTTTGACTTCCTTTATATTGAGTATACAAGGGTAGAACTTTCAGGTAGGGGGAAGCGGCCAATCAAAGGGCTACCATACAACACAAATAATGGGGAAAGACAGGTGGTAGTGGTAAGAGACGAACACAGGTCCTCCGGGGTGATGATTGGTGACGTTATCACCGGGCCACCAACGCTTCAAGCCATTCAGCACTTAGCCTTCTCGGGACGTGCTCCGCGATCCTAGGAGGGCCATCATTTCTCTTTTCTTCCGATATACCGGCAACCATCAAACAGTTAAACTGATAAACATGGAGTCTGGCTTGTCCAAGTTTGATTCTGTCATTTTTAATTTTATTTTATGGAGAACGATTAACGAACGTGCGTGGGATATCCTCGTTAGGTTATTTTTAAGCGATGTTGTCCTTTTTGCTCGTTTTGAAGGTCTTTAAATGGTTATGTGATGAGATAACATTTAATTGGTACGTCGTATCTCCCAACGGATGACTGTTCAGCGAATTTAACTTGGACAAGCCGAACTCTCAATTTACTAATTATTGTATTTACCTTTTAAATTCTTCTGCCGAAACAAGCATATCGAAGGAACACAGATATGATAGTTCATTTGTCTGTAGTTTCACCAGGCAGCCTCTGTGTGGCCGCAACCCCCCTCCTGAAAGTTGACTGTACATTTGTATATTCAACAAATAGAAAAAACAAGTAAAAATAAATTTATTTATTATTTATTCATAAACTATAAACTGTGTATGTATGTGAATTTGGATATCGACTCTATGATTCCTGATCTTGTGAAATATTTTCGCAGAATATATTCTTAAATACATAGATTAGGAAAGTCAGTTTCTTGAAGCTCACTGTACACCGACGAAAGAAATGGCCAATATATGTAGGATTGAGCAACCGAGGGTTGGAAGCATCGCATAGCATCGGGAAAAAATACTGTGACAGTAAATCAAGAAAAATGCACCAATTACTTCAAAGTAAACGCGATCTGTTCCACAAAAACGCTACCTTTTGAATCATCCATGACATAGTCTGTGTGAGAAAGATGAAAACCAGTAAATTTGACCATCTTGCGTGTATAAATGCACCACATATACTCTTGACTTTCTGTTCACCTGACTTCAAAAAATATGTAAATGTAGCTACAACTACTGCAGAGCAGTAGCACTTACGAATTACAGTGACACGAACAAAGAAGTGAAAGGGCTGAAGAGATGACTTTTAATCTAGCATACTATGCTATTAGCAAATACAAGATAGGTAATGTCCGAATTCACAAAACGACTCAAAATAAGTTAATCCGGAGCAACCTAAGGCGCATCGGATGCAACAGGAGTTCTTTTGCAATCAAAGAAATTCAGCAATCCAGCTGATTTTCAAAATATAAAGCGTAACTACGGCATTTCACAGCAGTATTATCATTTTTTTAGTACACCACACATTTGCGAGAAATTCCATGTTTATAGTCAAACGGTAAATCAAATTCTTATCGCTGGAAACCACCAGTCGGTAGTACTAACAGCGAATGAATACGAAATCAATATCCTAAGAAAAAGAATGGTTGCTTGATAAATTTTCCCTATAAATAGTTGACACAACCCTGTGATAACCTAATACCATATAGCTGGTTTGTGTAGAAGGTTCATGAGTTAGCTCCAACAATCCATATGAAATGGTTTAAGTTTCACAAAACAGCCACATTGCACAAATGGCCTCGCTGAGCCCAGAGCAATTAGGTAGAGTAGGTGTCTTTTGTCTTCCGGGGTGGGGTCCAAAAGACTCCGAAAATGTATGGTTGAAGACATTGAAAGTCATGGCTGCGAACCGACAGTAATGGCGATCTTCCTCTCACTTATTATCAGACCAGATTGCTTGCAATAGTATGTGCACAGTTGAACTGTGTACTCTGTGTGTTGACCAGAGAGGTTCGCTTGCATTTCCCGTCCCTAAAATTAAGTCCAGTCCCAACCATTCTTAAGCATTCTCACTGACCTTGTAAACAATGTGAATTTGGCAGCTATCAGTGAAGTTCGCTTCACTGTATTACATTGTACAATGATGATAATGATGATGATGATGATGATGATGATGATGATGACGACGATGATGATGACTGAAAACTACCACACTGATACTACATAAAAATGAATGACGATACTGCCCATAACACTAATGTAGGACGGTTAGTGTCTTTAAGAAATTGATTAGCTCGGGTGTGAGACCCTCAACAAACAATCCCAAAGAGAGATAAGCAACCGTGTCCCTTTATCACAGTTTTCCACACAAATTGTATTCTGACAACACAATAGACCCTTTTTCTACTGATATATTTTGCAAGCATCAAACATACCATACATTTAGATGTATGATTTGTGTGTATACGGGTGTGGACTAGACGCTAAAGTTAATCATGCTATCCTAGGCTCCGAGCCTACACGTCGTGGAAAGTGGTTTCGTTCTTGAAATATGTAGTTTTCGGGTGAGATGAATAAAAAAAGATAGTCAATCCATGCTGCGAACAGTAAATCACGCCAGCAGCGTGCACACTGCTTATTAGGTTTTCATAAACCAGAAAATTGGAATCCCTACCGTTTCACGTTCTATGTGAACAAAGAAAAAAAGCTGCAAACAATACTTGTCCAAATAGTAGATTGGTCTCCCTACTTTGTCCATGATTACAATCAGCAATTCCGCTTTGCCAATGTGATGACTGCATAAAAAAAGTTACTTTATCTCGCTAGCTACTCTGGAACTGGAACTGCTTTTATGCAATCAATAATAGCTGTTAAGTTTTCAGAAGGTTTTACGACCCGATTGCAGATCCTTTTGATGGAACACACTGGACTACATTTTGGACATCGGAAAACAAACACTAGGTTTCCGTGTTCTTCAGGCTGCCTGGTTTTCCTCCCGTTGTTCACTGGTCTCACATCGTCCCGAGTGAACCGCACAGCATATGACCTTCGAGAAAAGCTTTCCCTTCATTCAGTGTACATTCACCCAGGCGGGCGAAATCCTAATTCACATCAACCATCAACGCGTTAATCTGTGCAGACCGGATAACCCCGAAAGTTGTGTGAGAAAAGTCAACACTGTTGTTGCCGATACAGTGCATGTAAACAATAATGGAACAGAAACAATTATCTGGTGAGCTATGAAAATAAACTACAAAATATATAACGTAGTTATTCTGCTTATTTAGACTTGCCTATCCGTGATTACTAAAAGATTTACTTTGTAGCGGCCAGTTGCTATGACACATATTGTGAGATTAGGGTGTCTTAGTGATAAATATTAACAAGAAAGGCCGCCTCTGTTGGTAGTCCGATTTTGTGCATATTTCGGTATACCAAAACGCTCCGGATAAATCATGTGTGTAATCCTGCAGTTTTCCGCCATTCCCATTCTCTATCAGTTGCTCTGATCTACTTCAATGAGAAATCATAACTACCTAATCAATCGGCAAAGAAGTCAGCTTTCTCCAGTTGGCAACAGTTACCACAGAGCAGCCACAGCCACACATATACATGCGTGAGGCATCACGACCTCACTACAGTGATGTCGTAACAAACGCAACAAACGCTATCGAACTCTATTGAATTTTGAAGTTACTGAAGAGTATTTAAACATTGCTCCCTCATCACCACTCAACTCAATGAATTGAACTTCAATGCACTTTATTTATCCAGAACAATCAAGCTAGATTTCACTTTGATTGGAAAACGAAATAAACACGAATAGGTCACCTAGTTGAGATGAAAGGGCACGATGAGCGTCAGTTGTTATCCATGAAAAATGGAGTGTTAATATTCGAGAATTGAACTGTGAGATTCATCAATCAACGCCATCGGGTTTTCACTGTTCTTCGTTAACGACGGAAAACTCACGCAAATGATCGTCAACACAGTTTTGCAAGCTACTCATAAACGAAACTATTTGACCACGTTCAGATGATCACACTGCCATTTTGACATAAATATATATTTATTTATTATAAGAGTGTACTTGCAGTTCAGGTAGTAGTTAGCGTGAAGAACTGAATGAACTTATTCATAAAATTTTATTCTGACTAATAAGCTTACCAACTGAACACATGTGCTTTTCGACTTCCACGGAATGTGACAACACCTTCGTGGTTAAGGCCCATGTAGAAGTGGTTATTCTTGCGGTCCTGAAATGAATGAGCAGATATTTAAAAATTGCCATATTCATTGAGTTAGTAGAATAACCGACCAAAGAGAGTTCAGGTCCCATATAGTGCACTTACGTGCTGAATTCGTTTTTGATCGATCTAAGTGTGTTTTGTGACTTTCTGTTCCTGGTCTGCCCGTGTTAACAGTAATTTTCCACAATTTTCTAAAACTGTCTTTTATGCATACGGACTCAAAAAACAGGCCATCTCACATAAACTGCTCCCTAATAGTTATCCCTGACCTGAAAGAAAAAAGATTTCATTTTGATTTCTAGATCCCTTGAAACTTTTCCCGTTACAGTGGAATAGATAGAGCTGTTTTGTTTTACTTTTTTTTTTCAAACAATCGGACTATTGTGGTATCTTAATTAACAGGATAACGCGTGATCACGGATGCTCATTTCGCCGAGAAATCGTGGAAGCCCTATGAAATCCTCCAAACTCGCTTTAAATATCAACTCCTTAAAAGCACATACTTCAACATATGGACACAATGTAATTCCATACCTCGCTTGGCTATTGGTTAATCGTAAGAAAACAGTCACCCAACTCAGAGAATGAATTTTGAATTTCTTTTCTCATAAACTACAGCATAGACGTTTTTATGTTACTTTTTTGTTTTTGGTCGCAATTTGTTTTATATATCTACTGTACCAGTTATCGAATTACTGCAAATTCGCCCTTTGGGTGCAAAAGGAGTTTCTCAACTTGAATTGAAAACAACAATGGGAGTTTAAAATAGTTAAGAAAGGCATCTTTGAGCATAATAGAACGCAACCGTTTTCTTCCACATATGTTTTGCTGAGATCCGCAAATTTGGCAGTGTAGATTGAATCCCTACCTTATTCTTTTAGATGGTAGGTAACATAGCCATTTGCAATGTATGAAATGGTCATTTAGAAGTAAAAGAGGAAAAAAAGAATAAATTATTTTATTGCATTGGTTGTGTTTTCCCCGCCGAGAAGCGCCTCTTTATCCCCTCGAAAAAATGGTTTGAGATAGAAGGTTAATCGTCAACACTAGAAAACGGAATAGTGTAAACTGAAACTTATCAAATGCAGTTTCCTTTGGTAATTTAAGTCTATTCAATCATAGCTATAGAACGTTGTTTGTTTTCAATTGGTTGATGAAAGAATCCAAAAGCGTTCTATCGCACAGTGATCAACAAAGTTATTTTTTATTGATCTTGGCAGGGGATCCAGCTTTATATTACATTTTTTAGCACATATCTGATTATTCATTTACGACTCAAATCGAGAAATTCACTTTTACACAGCAAACTTCGATGATAGCGAACCGACTTACCTGAACATATAACGGCTCTATGCCATAAGTTTCGAATTTCGATGCCAGTTCGAGAAACTTGTTTTCTGCCTCTTCCTGTGTCAATCCTCTTCATTGGATGAGATTTGGCAATGAAAATTATATGCCACCAATATAAGGGAACAAGCATATAAATTACATTTCTTTGAAGATAATGGCATACGATTCATCTGAATATTATGATGTCATATATATTTATGCAGCTGTCCGTTACACCACCTGAATTTATTTGTTTCCTTTCAAAGGTACCAATATGAAACTCTAGAAGCCTTTGGATTTGCTCATGCATGAAGAGTATTTGTTATTTATATATACAAATAATAAATGATTTTACTTACTTTTTTACTTAGTGATTGCAGAAATTTATAACAAACTTTCAGGAAGGAAGCCTCGGCCATACAGAGGCTGTCTGGGGGAATACAGATGATGGGAATGTGGGCGGCAGTGGACGGGTTCGAACTAAGGACCTCTAGCTGGTTGTTTTCGCGACCTCACCACTTGACCACCGCTGCGCTTCACATGTCAAGATAAGTACATTCACTGATATTCTGTTATTTTTAGCTTTATTGTGTGAATAGATCTAACTCGATCCTGCTCTAATTTCTCATTTAGGAAATAGTTCGTTTGCTTTAGGTACCAGTCTCGGTCAATACGGAAGAAGAATCAGTTGATGTTCACATAAAAGGACAGACGAAACTCAGAAGATGATGCAGCTTTTATAACCAACGTTTACCAAACGCTTACGTATTGCACAGTCCCCATCTCGTTTATCCTCCCCGTTCTGACTGACTGAATAGTATTTTCTGGATTAAAATGGACCTCTTTCTCGGTACATTTAAACATAGCTACTATTATGGCAAATTGCACCGGAGATCTATGCTGAATTTCAACAGTTGCCTATTGCAGACATAAAAGTTTGAGTGCCGTTGATGTTTGTTTGGATCATAAGATTGAACAAGGTCAAGGTCACTACGATAAAGCCAAAACGATAGAAAGTATTTTCGCTGAAAAAAGCTTACACCGGCCAAACTGCAGCCGATTCGACGATCGTGAGCATTCCATGATTATCGTCAGTGATATGATATGTCGGGATCGATGATGTTGATGTGGTTGTTGTACACTACCTATAATGCTCCAACTCATTAAGGCAACTACATTTAACCGATGGGAACTACTTTTAGGGCAACAAAACGTTTTCGTCTTAGTGACTTCCCTCAGCTTTAGGTTGACATTTGTTTTGTCACTCACTCCCGACTCGATTTGAACATTGGATTTTTCCATCGCACACATCGGCTAATGACCAGTGAAATTTTTGAGGATATGATTTGCACAATATCAGCAAACTGTTTTGTTTTCTGTCCAAATGTTACAAATGATTCCACCTTTGTGTGTGGGGTGGTGGTGGCCAAATTTTGTTGGATTGATACATATGGTTGAAGTCCTTTGCGATGGGTGTTCAGATAACTTCTCCATCCCACAGGCTCCCGTTGATTTTGTTTCCTTTTCCAGGAACTTTTGGCAAACGAGTAGACCTGTGCTTCAATTCAACCAACCATACCAGTCCAAGAGGGTTGTTAACTGGTTGGCTTTTCCAAGCTCACAAAACATTTGTGTTATATTATTTGATATGGGTAAATTATTTTTGACCAATGAAATTTCATCTACCCAATTTTATTAACTTGGACCAACGACCGATGTTAAACTATCCTGGCTGGACGAGGAGCCTAGAAGTGCTGATTTGGGGTTCTCCGCCTTCAGCGGATACTGTTCTTCGATCAACTCTTTTTATTTTCTTTGCCCCAACATGATCAAATGGAGTAGGGGAAAAGACAGATTCACGATATAGTTAATGCCTGAAAATTACAACCAGGTCGCACTATCACAAAGTGGAGATTAGATCATTGGGAATGGAAGTAAGATAGTCTTGCTAACTCCACCCCAGAGAGAAGGGAATAAACATGACGATAAACGGGGTTTCCTTATCAACATGCTGATTTTAAATTCATTTGAATAAGAACTGTCTTTTTTCTCTTTAAAACTACTGGTGAGTCCCCATTGGTACCATACTGTTTGTCTTCGCTATATAAAAACCGATACTGATAACGAAAACAGTTGCACACCTGCTGTACTTCTGTCTATTCATCAATCACATTGGGATTCATTGGAAAGATGAAAGTTAATCTAACTTGAAACTGTACTTAGTTTTGATATCGCATTTCGTTTATGCACGTTTCCATGGAACTCGGAACTACTCATTGAAACCATGAATACCTTTTTCACTGCAATAAACAGATCAATTTTGGGGTAGACAATAGGGGAGTAATGATTGCACTGAATTCCTCCAAATTGGCAATCAAAACTTCTAACAAAACGTGAAAAACAAAATATCAGTTGAATTACAAAATATTCGGGAACACGCAAACTTGTAACGAGAAATATATTCATTAATGCGCAATGAAAAATTTCCTTGCATCGTGGAAAAATCGAACCACATCTTAAATCCATTTGTGTGAATAAACATTGACGTATCACGAGGTTGTTAACACTTTCCTAATGTGCACTTTTATGATATGAAAGCATAAAAGTAAGGAAGGTCTTGCGGTTTGTTAGATGATCAGCTTATCTGTTTGCATTTTTTCCGAGCTTAAAAGGGATCGCTTAATACGAGCTATAAACTATCCAAGCCATTTTACTTTCCTGTGACGGGCCGAAGACTTGGGCGAGATTTATACATGATGGTCTCCTCACCCAGGGTAGAATAATGTTCCATATAGTCAAATTTGCACCTGACGTTCTAAGTTACTGCGGAAAAGGCGGACGGTAAATTCAGTCCTTATGTTGACACCAAAGAATAAAATAGCAAACATTAGTGTAACGCAGGTCTTAGTTTTCATTCTTCGAACGGGAAACTCAGTAAAGCTGAGGACGAGAAGATACTTAGATTCGATACTTGAAATGAAAATAAAACACAAACTTGAATATTCCCAGGATAGAATTGAGGAAACGAGTCAGTGAGCAAAACGGAAACTGTGTAGTTCCTGTCGGACAGTTCAAAACAAGCTCACCTCAGGCTTTTATGAAATTCGCTTATTTTCGCCTCTGTCCTGGGCGTTACATTGGCAAACATTTTCAGGTCCGCCAGTGTGCCTTCTTCACCGAGGTAGTCGGCTAGCAGATCGTAATCCCCAATTTCAGCTGAGAAATAGGGAAAATAAACGGACAGCAACTGTGATGATAGCGGTTTTACTGTTGGGAAGTTGCGCTACAACGAAAGACACATAAAGGCTTCGAATGCACTTGTCTGATCAATGAATAACTGAATGATCTAAACGGTTAATTGCATGTAAAAAATTGGCTTGATATGAAGACGATTATGCAATATTGAGCAATTTGTTAGAAATCCACCGTACAAATCACTGGTCACCAAGAATCTCCATAAATTGCCTGTGAAATTCAAAATACGCTAGGTTTGTCGAATTTGGGCTTGGTGATCATAATGCATTTTACATTATGGTGATGGAGAATTTGCTTTGATTATATAGTGAATTCCGTCATATACAGAGTAAGTGAAGTGGCTACTGAGAATTGGGGAAGCCCTAAACAGCTATTGTGACATTGCCGGGTCCAATCGAGGGGCGCGAATCGATCGACCCACTTGCGGTCGAACCGAGGCTCCTAACAAATGGAACGCAAGCATGCCACTCACTCAACCGCCGGATCGAAATTTGGTTAAAAGGTCAGCTTATACATCTTAAAGGGCTAATGAAGAAAAAACTGGGAAAACGTAATAGATGCCAATGTGCATTCAGAACGCATCGGTTAAAAACCACAGTTGAATGCTGCGGCACAAAACTACGCGAAATACACCGTCTAATTGACTGAAGATTCTCAACGTGAGATTGACAGAACGACACGAGTAGTGAACAAGCTCGTTTTCAATAACTTCTTTTTCTGAATAATACAGTTTATATATATCTACGTATACATATATGCAACAAATAGTGCTAGAACTGACACCACTGTATATGCGTTTATTTTAGTATTTTGTCATATCAAAAGAAAGTTTATTTTATATGATACGGATCTTTACCCGACGAAATAAATATATTCTTATCGGAATTGCTGCCGCATGAACCGGCACAAAAACAACCAATGTAAATTCGATGAACGAGAGAAGAGTTTAGTGAATTTGTGGTTAAGCAAAGGTAAACATTCAAGGAGAGGAATTCTCATGACAGTGAATGACCGGTTCTAGTGAACATATGATGTAATGCTACTATTTTCAAACTATTTCGATTATACAGAACACAGATAATAATGATCAAACATCTTGAAAAGAATATATACTAATCTCAACAGAGTATTAAATTTATTCTCTATGCTACCCTTGAGAAAGAGAACGATAGCTGTTCGACTGTTTTAGACAAGAAAGTTAGGAGGCAGTCAGGTAGAATCTTACAATGATCCATCTAAGGGAAGACCACATATTGTGGACAATGCGTATATTTGCCTATGGTATACAAAAGAAGCTTGGTGAAACCTGTGTTTCATTGTGCCAAGAATATTTGCTCTCCTGACAAACTTCAACAAGGAAAGGCTTTTATACAAAGGGGGCTACTGGATGATGATTATTCAGATAAATTTGTTGATGTGTATAGCACACATAGGCCACCGGTTGATCCCGTCTGCGATGTTCTGAAGAAAAGCGTGTTCTTCAAACCGACTTTCAGGCTGACTATCTAATGAGCAAAGTGCATTATGAGCTGAAGGTGGCCCTCTATAGAATCTTTCCTGCGTACAGCAGGACTTGCTGCCGCATATCCAGGGTCTTCTTCTGAACAACGGAAAACAGAGTCAGCCACCCATTCTGTTTCACATGTCATTCATCAGTTTATCTGTGGTGACGGTGTCACTAAGATGGGCAGAACCATTTGGCCCCTGACATAGCGGATGGTGGAACACATGCCCCAGTGATTACCACAGCTAATGACGTTGCACAAATTTGGAGGTCAGACTGATAAAAGGATTTAAGGATCGCCAGTAGCAAAACTTGTCATGACAAATGGACAGATCGTTGACCTACTTTCATCGTTTAAGCCGTCGTTACGTAACACGAATCTCAGCCTCGTAACATTCAGAAACGCTGTTAATCAATTTGTGCAATACAACTTTCTGTGCACAAGGTACTGACGGAATCGGCTAAATTAGCGCTTAACTTATTCCCCACCCTGAAAGTTGTTAGCTGAAACAATGTAGCTATCAGATACGTTCTGTATTGATATTAGATTGTTTTCTATTGTAGTCATTGCGGAGATTAAATGTTACCAAAAATGTTAATACCTCGCAGTATTTGTCTTCCTCCTATTCTAAGGAATTGAATAAACAAGGACCAGTGTTTCAAATTATCTAGAAAGTTAAATATGCTTGTCACATATCAGACAAGGAATTTATGCATTCCTGCATTGAAAACAATGGGATTATCGGAGAATTCACTTGATTAATCTTAGCTTCCTTCCTGAAAATCAATCATACACAATTAGACTAGTCTAAATAGGACCACATGGTGTTTTGCTTATCAATATTTCTACTGGTTATTTTATAAATTGCACAAAAAAGGTTCGAAGTTACAGAAATCAATTGCCATCTACAAGTTGAATATAAAGGAAAAGCAGCACTCTGACGAAGGGATTTCTATAAACGTAATTATAGAACATCGCTAAACGAACAACATAGTTAGAACAGAGAGAAGACAAATACTGCGAGATGTTAACATTTCTTTTAATCTCTTCAGTTGCTACAACGTTAAACAGTCTGGTATTTATACAAGCAAGTTTTGATAATTACAGTGGTAAAACGGACAATAGTCAGGGAAGCGGGGGTGAGGGTGGGGTGGGAAATCAAGTCCATGGCAGTCTGACTGATTGTATAAGGAACTTTTGTGCACACAGGACTGGGTTACGTAACTTGATTAGCAGCGCTTCGCTAAACGCCAAAATCTTGGGATTCAGGTTACGCAATAACGGCTTGAACGACATTTGTGGGTCAACGGTGTGTCCAGTTGCTATGAGATGTTTCGCGATGGACGACCCTGGATTTCTCTTATCGGTTTGACCTCAGAGACTTTGTTGCGTCATCGATTGTACCAACCATTTGGGAATGTGTTCAGACATCCGCTGTGCCAGGGCCCGATTCGTTCTACCAATGTAAGTGTCACCGCAACTGCAAGTGAACTGCTAGACGATATGTGAAGCAAAAGTTTTCGGCTGGTTCTGTTTTCGGTT